GATAAATCAAAACTGAGCCATGCAAGACTTGGCTCGTCACGCATAGTCCGAGTTGGATTTCTGTCATCATCGTCATCATCATCATCATCATCATCCACAACAACAACAACAACAACAACAACACTTCATGGGGCCTGCGCAACTGTTCAGGCACGTGTTTTCTCCATGCGTGCTGTTCTGCGCGAACTGCAAGTAGGCTCTGTTTACAGCTAGAGGAATTTCAAAAGAGGCCAAGAACTCCCTGCCTCAGCTGCTGCTGCCACAGATTCTTGTGGGACTTGCAGGTGCAGCTCGTCCTCATCAATCAGCAAGCAGCACTGAATTCTAGCATTCTTAAACTTGCACAGAGATCTGAGGTTTTGGCAGTGCTGCCAGCATGCCACAGGGCGACACCTGCAGGTTTTTGAAAGCAAGATACATGACTTCTGGAATCGCACATCATGCAGTTATGCATCTATGCGGCCTGATGACGTTAAAACTACACGGCAAGCTTCAAAGCAAGACTCCATCATGTTGGCCTCTTTTCCGCAACTCCTCAGCAAGCGTTCTTCGTGCTGGACAGTTGCGCCAGTCCTGAGGCAGAAGATGCAAAATATGAACATGAGTTTAACACGTAACATGCATGATTTCGTAGAAGCCCGTCCAGGAAGCCTGATTTTGCTAAAATGTACCAAAAAATAAATTGTTGATGCAGTGCACATGCCAGCATGCCAGCACATGTTCCGTGTTCTTACGTGCGTTTATACACGCATTCTTCCCAAATCTTTCTGCAGACTGTTGTGGACAAACCCGTAGCAACTGGCCTCACCAGAAAACAGCACGCACGGCGGACCTTTGCTGCCTGCCAAACCCAAGGACAGCGTGGCTGAATCAAAAACTGCAATGCATTCTTTTGCTGGTGCCCAATTTGGCGGGCAATATATACTTTGATGAGCTTCATACACTGCAAGAGGCCTCCTTGCTTACCCTTCCAGGCAGCTGCCGACAGGCGCAGCAACACGGCCGCGCGCTCTGCTGCTTCAGCGCCAGTTGATCCTGACAGAAACCTATGAGCTCTCAGCTCTCAGCTCTCAGCTGTGTCAGGCTGGGTGCCTGTTGCGGCCAACGCTGGCCGCCATTCCCACTCCAGGCCCTGCGCAGCAGCGAGCCGTCGCAGAGCAGCAGCCGCCCGTGCAGGCCTCGTGCGTGGCACCATTCAACCAAATAATCAATGGTGAGACTTGGAATGCCTAATTCATCAACAAATGCGGAACAAGTACCTCAACCGCACATCAACAGCGCTGGCCGCGCGACGTTGACGTAAAAAGTCTAAAAGTTGCTCCGAACCTGCCACATCAAATTCACAGTATTAATGCTGCTTCACGGCCTAATGATATGTACACGTACACGGTTCCCTTTATCACTAAGTTTTTCCATGACAAGCGACATCTCAGCAAACAGTCCGCATCTGTCAGTATTGTGAAGAATTTATCGCAAGTCATGCTCCACATGAAACTGTTGTCAATCCCCGAATCCGGAACGACAACATCAAAACTTGACTGGACTCTGCAAAAAAAAAGAGCAATGTGCATCAATTCGGCTGAGGACAGTTGGTGCAATTTATTTGGTTGCGTTTGCCTCAAGCCCGTCTGCCTGTGTGCTGAGCAACATTCACACAAAGCACTGCAGCAGCAGTCTTGGCATCATCATCGTCTATGACAATGACGTCATCAATCCTGGCCGCTCAGCTGATAGTATGGTTTATAAACAGTCTGTCCAGGTACTGAGTCCCAAACGCGTCCAAATCGATAATGTCGATCATAGGGAGACGTCATGCACAGATATTCTGCGCCGATGAAATCCCGATCATTAAAATGAATGACTGACACAACTTTGAAACCTAGCAAAAAAAACACAGCACAATTTGTTGAACCTGTGATGGCATCCCCGTTGCTCAGACCAGACTTTCAACACACCCACTGAGCAATAAAGACAACGCTGTTAACATGACCTCTTGTTCTGTGCATGGGCTGCTTGCTGTACACATCTGCAACGCTGGAAACCATATGAGGGTTTCCTAAAATTAGGGTAAGTTTTGGGGGTCCCCACAATGAGGATTTTCATACATTGGGGTCTATATTGGGGTCCCCGTGTTTTTGGGAAACTACCACATCTACTAAGGTGCAAGGCCATCTGTGTGTACCAGCCTTTCACCTCAGAAAGCTGCGAGGCCGGCAATTTTGCCTTCTGATTCTGCAATACGACCGACGTATCTGTTTCTCTGCTTATAGTCCCCCTTAAGGAGTAGATAGAATATGGCTTTGGGTACATTATAGTAAGATCCCCATATACCCAATCTTCTATCTACTTAAGGGGGGACTATTGGGAGATGAGAGCAAACAATGGATACATGTGGAATTCCCAAAATCAGAACATACTCTGTCCCCAACGTCTTTTTTTTACATTGGATGTACGCCCGGGCTGCAGCCCAAACTTGCAAATGCGGTGAATGCATCTTCGCCTGAAATTCCTTAGCTGGCTTTGAACCTTTTGGAATGGAGTTGTTTTGAACAAGCTGTATTGCTCTTGACACTGCGAACTGAGACTTTTTGTTTGGGTTGCTCGGCGTGAGTTCTGTCCTGAGCGCTCATGAGCTTGAAATCTTTCAGGTTTCTCCGAAATTTCCCTCATGGAAATTCTACAGAAGTAAACTATTCAAGAGTTTTTGGGCCAAGCTGCAATGCTTGGGTTGGGTCAGACAAATGCGAATACCGCCTTACGCGGCTTTGGCCAACCTTTCAGCCAATTCGGCCGTTGTTGGTTCATCTAGCTCTTGGAAAGAGGGTCGTTGTATCAAATCGCCGGAAGTGTTTTCAGCGAATTCGTTTGAAGGAGACATCAGTGCCTGGACAGGCTGGTCGCCAGCTGCGGGCTTTCGGGAAAAAACAACCAACCTTGTTTTGGCCATCGGGGTATGCCAGCGACTCACGCTGTGAAAAATGGTTAATTCAAATATTGTTTTTGCCACGCTGTGCT